AAAAAAAAAAAAGTGGTACATATACACAATGGAATATTATGCAGCCATACAGAAGGACAAACATATGGACTTTGCAGTAACTTGAATGGATTTAGAGTCTATAATACTTAGTGATCTATCACTGAGTACCACATGTTCTCATTCGTAAGCAGACCCTGAACATTTACCATAATACTGTAAGAAAGGGATTGGCAGTAGCAGGACACTGCCAGGAGAGGGCACACAGCATTAATAAGGGTACCTGATCTCAAACCAGATGAAGTGGGGACCAAAGGAAGGCCCAAACGTTACCTGTATAATGTCACTTGTATACCTAATCCTGAATTGTACCCCACATCTTAAAAAAAAGAATGGGGAGGGGAAGAATGAACCTTAAAAACATTATGTTAAGTGAAAGAAGGCAATCACAAAGTTCATCTATTGTATGATTTGATTTACATGAAATGCCCACACTAAAATCCACAGAGACAGAAAATGGATTAGTGGCTGCTGGGGGCTGGAAGGGAGGAGAGAATGGAGAATAATCGCTAATAAGTATCAAATTTTTTGGGGGGGTGATGAAAATATTCTGGAGTTAGGGGTGATAGTTGTATAGCTTTGTGAACATGCTAAAACTCACTGAATTGCATGCTTTTTTTCTTTTTTTTTTTTTTAGTAGGAGTCACTATGTGGCTCAGGCTGGAGTGCAGTGGCACATTCATGGCCATCACCTCGACCTGCTGGGTTCAGGCGATCCTTCCACTTCAACCTTCCAAGAAGCTGAAAGTACAGACATGCGCCACCACTCCTGGCAAATTTTTTGATATATTGTAGAGATGAGGTCTCACCAACTTGACCAGGCTGGTCTTGAACCCGTGGGTTCAGGCAATCCTTTCACCTCTGTCTCCCAAAGTGCTGTGAGCCACTGAAACCCGCTAAAAAGTATGCTTTAAAAAGATGAATATCATGGCAGGTGAATTGTATTTTAATAAAGGCGTTTTTTAAAAAAACAAACAAGGCATCTAGGGCACGAAAATTTAAGGACGCTCTGATTCTCAAATCAGGCAAATACGGGAGGGACATCTAAGGAGTGCCCCCTCTTACATTTTTCGCATTAGGCACCTGGCTTGCGTCACGTTAATTAATTATGGTTGATTTGAAACGGGAAGGGAAATTCGCTGAAAAACCAGGCTTCTGGGAAAAGCTCCCTGCTTCAAAGAAAAAGTCGTTTGGTCTGTTCTCCTCCTCTGGACTTCATCTTGTCAACACGAAATGCTTCCAATTTTGTGTCCAGCCTGAGATGGAGCCGGCACGATGGATCTGTGATGACATCACGAACTGCTGCATCAACCCACCGGAGCCCTCCCTGCCCCTGAGCTCCGACTGAGGACGGAGGGAACGCCCTGAGCCCGTCTGACTCCGCGTCTGCCCCTGTCACTTTGCGGCCAAGCGGGGGCTGCGGACACCACCGGGGCAGCCCGAGTCCCCGCGTCAAAAGAAGGGCTCGGGTAGCAGGAGTTAGGACGCCCGGTTTGTTTCTGGGCCCGGGACTCGTGCTAATCAGTG